ATTTCTTTAAAGGTTGAGGTATTGATAGCCAAACTCAAAATTGGCTCTTAATCTTTATTACTTTTTTTTAAAAAAAATATTGTATTATATTTTCTATTTTGCTTGGTTTTAATGTACATCACCAGAATCTGTTTGGAGTTGGTGCCTAAACTGAATGCATGAAATTCATTTTCCAAAATGGTTGAGCTTCACATTGTCATAAAATATTTAAAAAATGATTATATTTCTAGCAATATTTAGACAATAATCTGTCAATTTTAGCTATCAGTACTAGAAAAATATACCAGTGGTAAAACATACCAATTTTCTCTAACTCTACTATTTGTTGTGAACTGACTGCTTTTCTTGCATTAAAATTCCCATTGTTGCACATCAATTGCATTTAAATTCTCTATCTTAATCATACAATCTTTAACATGTTCAGTTTCTGAGTTACATATTCATCAGCAATTTATAAGCAAGACTTGGCAAATGCTGAAAAAAATATAAGGTTTTCAGATTCAGTCAGATCTCTAATTGTTCACTCTCCTTTTTGCAGTTCTTTTAAAGCTATAGTGTTATTTGAAGATATTGAAACTGGTCAGGTGGTTGTGTATATTTGCCTTATTATTAATGACATTTTGATGTATATATGACTTGTTGTCTTTCTACTGAACAAAATTCTTCATACTTTTATCTTCATGAAAAAACAACAACAGGGCAAGAGTTTGGAAAGCTTCTTATATTTATTCCCAACTTTAATACATTGTTTATTATTGTACATAATACAAATAATCTTATAACTGTTCATTCCTGTTTGTATCAATCTAAAGATAATTTGTCCATCTGGGAGTCCGGTTCCCTCAAAGAAGGTAATACAACCACAGAGTGATAATATTCAATATGTAATCCAAATTAAATAGCTATCCTGATAATACAGTTTGAAGTTCAGGGCTGCCAGATAGTCTTGGTCTTCCAAGATCTGCAGTTTCTTACATTTAATCCTCAATCTTTTATTAGGCCATGTACAATTTGTTACTTGTCTCTGCCAGTCATTCAATAGCTTGTTTCTATGTTTTTCTCTGAGGAAAAAGATTTTTAAGTAGTCACTGTTAAGGCCATTGAGAGTCAGAAAGGATAGCTAATTTATTGCAAACCATACAGAGACCTACCAATAAATAATAGCTTCTTCTCATAAACTGTGAGGATTACAAAGATATGGTGTGCTTTGCAGTGACAAAAAGCATGAAACACTCACTGTGCCTATGCATGCCTCTATGTGTATATATTTGAATTTATCTTCCCGCCAAGCCTTTCAGATAAATGAATTCAGTGATTTGACATAGCAATCGATCAAGGGTTAAGTCTCCTTCAGAAGTTTGATTCCTTATGTTGTCATGAACAAGGTCGTGTTGTTTTCTTAATGCAGAAGTGGTTTGCTATTGTTTCTTCTAAGATTTTTTTCAATTTACCAAACTACAGCCTAGGAATCCTTACTGATCTCTCATCCTTAAGATTATCTAGGATGTTGCTCTGCTTTTTTTTAACCAGACAAAGTCAGCCAGGTACTATACAATCAAGACAATCATTTTAAAACTTATCCAATAAGATTTAGCAATGCTACACCAAGAAGCACTTTCTTCTGCCCTACTTGTACCACAGTATTTACAACACTTTACCTACAAATCATGGTTAGAACTACCCTATAATTAACTGACAGAACAGAAATAGAAGAAACACAATCATATTTGTACTTTCTGATTTGCATTCTAATCAACTTGATGTTTAAGCCTGTAGCCTCACTGCAACTGAATACTATGGGGTTGTAGCGCCCTCTTGTGTTGCCTACGTATTTCATTCAGGAAGAGACTAGGAAATAATTTTCAAATATCCTAAAGAGCATACAAAATATTCGACCTCGTGTCATTATAAAAAACTAAATTTGGTGTAAATATTAATAATTTTTAATCATTCCCTGCGTTGCTTTATTGGACAGTCCTCTTATTTTTAAAAGTAAAATGGGAAGATCGAAGACATAAGGATTTAGTATCTCAACCAATTCTTTCCTTGAGCTCTAGAATGTGCAAAGCCCAAGACTCTAGAGACGAGTGAAAGAATGTCTATTATCAGCCAAACTATGCCATTCTCCTTCCTATGGTCTCTATAGGGAGAACTTGAAAATTGGATTTTCATTGAACTGGGAAGCAGAAGAAACTCTTTCCTCCACATCAACATCCTTAATTAGAGTGGGTTTGTACATTGTGTTAAACCATAACACAAGTTATTAGGTTTTGACTTAGCAAGTTGGATGAGTTCAACACAATTGTTTACTGTAAGACATGGCATTATGTGTATCTAAGTGCAGCTTAGTTGACAAGTTATGGATAAGCAAGCCATAGCTGAACATGAAGTCTAAACCAAGTTCTGATGGATGGCTAAGAAAGGGATGTCAAATTACCTGTCTAAAAGCACTATCACAAACAAACAATTGTGATTAATAGCCCCCCCTTTTTAAGAAAAGTCTATGCTTGCATAGTTTTTCATTTTAACTTCACTTAAATAGCTTCATTTAAATAATGAATGCTCAATTACCGGTATTTGGGAGAAAAATAGTGTACTGCAAAAAAACCCAACAAGTTAAAATAAAATCAATGAAATGATCTAACGGCCCAGTCCCATGCCTTAAAATATTTAAAAAAAATAAAAATGAAAGACAGATACATGCCATTCTTTTGAGTCTAGAAGCATGACTCACATATCCAGCTCTACCTGTCCCAATGACCGCTCACTGGTTGTTTTGTTAACCAGTGGCATCATCTAATTATATTGGTAAAGCTAAATGGAGTTGGACCATATTGTTATTTGTGAAGTCCTTGGTGATCTCTGAGCTTGGTTGTTTGCTTGCAGACATTTTATTACCTAACTAGGTAACATCATCAGTGTTAATGTTCCATGGGGAGCAAATCTAACAGGCACTAACACTGATGGTATTACCTAGTTGGGAAATGAAACATTTCAAAGCAAGCAACTAAGCTCAGAGACAACAAGGATTCCACAGTTCAACCCTGAGCTACATATATTCTCTTCTACTAAAACTTTGTTCTGTGATTTTCAGGTGGTCATCTATCCAAGTAACAAAGTTCTAGTAGAAGAGAATATATGTAGCTCAGGGCTGAACTGTGGAATCCTTGATGTCTCTGAGCTTAATTGCTTGCTTGCAGATGTTTCATTACCCAACTAGGTAACATTATCAGTGTTAATGAGTGTTAGTCATTCAACGTCAATATTGTTGTTGTCAAAGACAACTTCATGGTCCATCCACATGATCACCCAGGAGTAAAGGAAGTCTTTACTTCTTTAAATGAGGGAGTTGCTTTATTTACAGGGTTACAAAACAAAGAGTTTCTCTCTTGGGACCATAATGACAGATTTTTCTCTCTGGATTAACTATAACATCCAGCCTACATTTACTTCAATTTGGCAGAAGCAAAATCTCAGGAGACATCCATCAACAATCCTATTTTAAATTAAAGCCCTTCTGTTTCAACGCCTCCAAACAGCTTGGGCAGCCACAGCTTTTGAATAGCTATGTGCAGGATGTTTTGACACCTACAGCACACATGGGTTCTTGTTGCACAGTGAAGAGCTGATGTAAGTATTTACTGACATTTGCACATGCTTCCCCCAAAGTTCTGGGGTTGTGTAGTAATAATTTAAAATAAAGTTGAAGAAAATGTTTGCTGTGTAAGCTAATTTACCAGGGACTTATCTACACAGGACACCTTGGTGGAGAGGGCTAAGCAAGAAAAACAAATAGTCAAGTTCTAGAACAGTGTTTCTCAACCTTGACAATGTTAAGGCATGTGGACTTCAACTCCCAGAATTCCACAGCCAGCAATGCTGGCTATGGAATTCTGGGAGTTGAAGTCCACATGCCTTAACATTGTCAAGGTTGAGAAACACTGTTCTAGATCTAGGATGCTATGGTCAGACATGATTAACTCAGATAGAAAAAAAAGAGGCAGCAGGATCTGAAAATGTATTTTGTGCTGCTATAAGTGCCTTAGCTTCTGTAGGCCATTCCATATCTGTTCTACTGTTCCATATTTTATTATTAAACTAATATGTCAGAACCAGAAAAACAAGACTATTTTTTCAGCTTTGATTTTAAACATGTGTATTCTGAACGTGTGCACTTTCACATTTTAACATCTGTAAACACATTTAAAATTCTATTTTTCTGAGAAAAAGTCACTAACTTTTCAAATACAAATAATATAATACCTATAATACCTATAAATATATACTGGGTTAACATATTGCCCTTATCAGAGGCTGATGTTTACCACTACCTCCATCACCTGCTGTTCTCTGAGTGTGTGTGTCCTTGTTATGGAACTCAAGATCTAACCTAACTGAACTTTTGGCATCAGTCAGCCCAAGAGGCTCTAAAACAAGATCTATCAAATTAAACTGATCCATATATTTTCACAGAAATAGAAATTATTCATTCTTAAGGCAACGACTCAATAGATTAAGGACAGAAAGATAGCTAGGACCTTGAAGAAATTATTAGGGTATCTGAGATGCCTTAATCCCTGAGAACTTTGCCAAAATCCTAATTTTTATCCTTTCAGCTATTTATATATTCTCAAGATATTCTCCATATCTAACCATCAAAATCAAGAACGCATCTTTTCCGTTTTCTACATGAAGACCAAATCAGATGACCAGCTATCCTACAACTGACAATTGTTTACATAATTAAGGAAGTATAATTTAAACAAGGCGCTATAGCTGGTCTAGAATGGTCTGGCACATTTCATACGATTAATGAATGTCCTTTTAATCTGGGTCACCAGAAATCTTCTCCTAGATATATAATTCAGCTATGGGGAAATAACTGCAATGAAATACAGTACAAAGCATTTAGCTCAATGGTACAGAGAACCCCAATTATCAGTATTTCATTATAAGAACCAACATGTTTTTGCACAACAAAATCATATACTGATACATACCATTGTATTTCCTTTTTGGGGTGAATATGTGTACAAGATTCCTTTCTTTTCTCTTATCTTCCTGGCCTGTTTTCTCCATTTCAGAAGAACTTCTTTATCTCTTCAAAAAGATTTTAAAAGTATTTAACATTTCACTAGTAAGCCACGTAGTCAATATTGGAACTAACTTTCCAAAAAAACCCACCAAACTTTAAAAATCATACTGGATTTTTATTCTTGTGCAAGCAAAGTGTGCATAATATTTTTGTAGATGAACAATCATAATAAAAAAAGCCAATGATTCTATTTCTAGATACTAAATATAACCCATAATACAGGCTGTGTATATACATGGACATTCATATACATATGGATTTAAAAGCGGCTTGAGGTTATTCACACAACAGAAATGGTTAAATCTCTCTTATTCAAGCTTCAGTGGTGTTCGAAGAAGCCAGGAGCTTCCTGGCAATCACGAAAATAATGGGATTAAGTACATATCTGGTTTAAACTCTCAAAACTGAATATGAAACATGAAAGCAAAAATGTCACTCTATGTAAGTCTAATATTTTCTTGTGCATTCAAAGTCAGGATGAATTTAATTAAAATTCTTCAACTGTGGGAAAGATGCTGGACTAAGGTTATAGGAATATTTCTCAGAAACTATGGTGAGAAACAGTAGATATAGAAGTATTACTGGCTACACCTCAGCTATCCTTTCTTAAATGAGTATGATCTTTACCTGGAAATTTGGTTCAAAAGTTTGTTTAACATGCTAGTTTTTCACTGACCCTGTTATGCACACTGTAAAAATGCAGGCTTGGAGTAATAGGGAAAAAAGTAACAGTATGAAGGAACTGATTGAATATGGCAGTGAAAAATAGGAGGTGCATAACAATCTCTCTTCTGTTTACTGCTTTCCTGCACTAAAAATAATCCTCTTCTTTACTTATTTAAAATCATGAATCTGATCCTGTTATCTGTGCCATAAATCTTGCACTCTGCAAGCAGCAAAAAGCAAATCAAAGCTGGACGGATAAAATAGTAATATATTCATTTTAAAATGAAAAAACAGTTTGTTTTTTTGTCAAGTAGTAACATCTTCTATATTAGGGCTTTCATATCTAAGCTGTAAAAATTCTGATGATTGTCAGAATATAGAAAAAAAACTCTGCCATCTAGTGTTCTTCTAGATTTCTAAAACCCATATTTAGTAGACTTATTTAGACTAATAATATATTGTTGAAAATAATTATAATACTTACTTTCTCCGCTGTTCAATTAAAGCTTGTTTTTCCCTCATTTCTTTTAATGCTGCCAATCTGCACTCCTCTGCCATCTTACTTTGGATTATGAAATCATATGATGAAGCCGCAGGAAACAGATTCTTTTTATCCCTTTGAAATAGACTTGTTAAATTCAGTCAATTATATTTGTCATCAAAATCTATGCAGAACAATACAGTAGTTGAACAAAAAAATCTCTATAATCATTTCTACTATCTTCAGGCTTTTTTTTTAAAAGTCTACTTCAGAATTTCACAAAACAGTGACTTAAGAATTTCACAAAACAGTGACCTTTTTCTGTTTGGTTTGGTTTTGATTTAATTCACATTTGTTCCTTGCATTTCCCCCAGAAATTTAAGGTCATAAATAGTGATTGTGCTAAATTGCATGATTGTGTTAAATTGAAATAAACTGTATATGCAATATAAATATTAAAACAATGAAATTGGTTTGAGCATAATTGGGCAATTTACTCTTAAACATCTGTTTTTTGCCTAGATTTTTATAAACTGTATACAGACTGAGGAAAAGCTTACAGAATTAAAAAAGCATGCAAGTTCAATCCAACTAAGGTTAGCCATTATTTTATGGGGGAATTCTTCATTGGCTTCAGAGGGACTGAATCATGACTAACTTTGAGCCCAAACCATCTTTTGTGGAACATTTAGAACGGAATTGTTGTGTTTTTATTGGAATTAAGAATTAGATTTTTATGAAAATAGTAGAAAATAGAGGAAGGCATTAGGAAATGGTATTGATGAGTTCTTCAATGTCTTCAAACTTAACATGGAAATTCTTTAATTTATATTAGATCTTAGGTATTGTACATACCCATTTATTCAAAAAATATGTATTCCATTTCTTAATATACTGATCCTGTAACACAAAACATTACATCATATCTCCCACCTCCTTCTTTGAAGAAAAATCAGTTGCTATGTTCTATCTGCCTCTAGCCATCAAATTCAATGATGTCCAAATCACAATTTTAGGTTAGCTCTTTTGCATTTTTTTTTTAAACAGAAGATTGCATTCTTCAACCAAGGGGATGTCATTTCCCATTTGCTTGGAAAAAGAGTGAGGTAACTAAAATCATAAGATCTCATAACATTTATAAGGTTGTTTTTGGATTTGTTTAGATTTAAATGCCAAAACAAGGACTTAGAAAATTACTCTATTTTCAGCATTTTCAAAAATACTTTATATATGAGATATGAACTTCTATTGAAAAATTAGTTGTAAACTTCTATCCTCATTAGAGTCATGTTTCAAAACCAGCATTAGCACATGGTAGTTATCTAAATGAAAAAATTTATAATGGGAATCACTTTGAGAGAATTAATTGTCCAGTATATCTTAAGGGCTTCATTTGTTCCTGGCTTTAGATTCCAATTCATATGCTCTATGTCACTTTAAAAACTATATGATTTATTATCATGTACATTTTTATAGTTCATGGTCCACTAAAGCTTATTATGAGAAAATATATTTGTGAATCTTTAAGAAGCAGCACTCCACTTATTTCATTAGCTTTGCTTCAAAACACTGATAGGGATACTAATCTGGAACCATCTGTTATTATAAATTCTAGATGATAATTGACCATTTCTTTAATCTTATTTGGATTTAACTCTACCTTTAAAATATACTGCTGATTGGTTATATTTGTTGTGGAAAATTATTGCTCTGAAAACGATTGTTAACTATGTGAAATTGGCCCTTTGCTTTACCTAAATGCAGGTAGTCCTTGACTTACCATTACAATGGAGTATGGAATTGAAGTCATAAGTGTGTTTGTAAGTCAAGGAAGCACATGGCTAGACTCAATTTTACAACTGTTCTTATGCTGGTCATAAAATGAGCATGGTTGAAGCAAACCATGGGGTTGTTAAATGAATCCATTTTCCTGGATATACATTTTTTGCTGGAAACTTGCAAGAAGCTTTGCAAATTGTGGTCACATGACCAAGGAACACTGTAACTGGTCCTGTTTCTGCCCAGAATTTCCCACCAATTCCTGTTACTCATATAGTTGTTTATACAGATGCATGGCCATCTATTTTTTGAGCCATTTATAAGAATTATCACTAGAAGCATTGGCAGAAGCATTGCATCAAGGTATTAAAAATCTCTGAAAAAGCAGCAAGAACTCACCTGCAAATAATTTTAATGGTTGATTCAGAGTAGGAATGTTGATACTGAAAGATTATTACCCTTTTTAAAATATTTTTTTCTTACAGTGATTACAATAATATATAATGGTTATGGAAATTTTAAAATTCTATTATTGCTATTGTGGCTTTAAAAATAAAAGTTTCTAAATTCCCCTTGAATTTTCTAGATGTCTACTATTTATCATGCATTTTTGGAATTTAACATAGTGCAGTAATGTATAATTTACATTAGAATGCAAACTGTGAGTTACCATAAAGAATATAAAAACACAAGCTGGCTTATATGTTTTATTACCTTGATGAAAGTATAGATGATTTACGAGAGATGCTTTCCTTTGTCCTGGTTCTCCTTAATGTAGGCATGGATTCATTGGTTACTATTTTGTCTTCAGGATACTCCTGTCTTTCATCCTGGATAAGTTCATCCCTTAGCTTCTTAAATCGTATCATTTCCTCCTCATTAGGCCATCCGTCTGACAAATCCAAACTGGATTTCATGAGGTCTGCCAAATTTAATTTTTCAATAGGAGGCATTTCTATTGAAATAAAAAAAAAGTTTGCTTTACACCAGTGGTTCTCAACCTGTGGGTCGGGACCCCATTTGGGGTCGAACGACCATTTCACGGGGGTCGCCAAACAAGGCTGTCCGCCATTTTTTCCCCATTTTCTTTGGCCACGCCCCGGCACCCGGTGATTTATAAGTGGTTGGGGGTCACCACAACATGGGGAACTGAATTATGGGGTCGTGGCATTAGAAAGGTTGAGAACCACTGCTTTACACTCATCTATGGAATCAATTGTGAACGGAAAATAGCAAGAAAGTTATTTTTTTGTTCCTTTTGATTTAGAAATACATGTTTACAATCTTTCCCTTTATTGTAATGCAATAATCATCAAAAAAGGAAAAAAGAAACAGAAACATCACTAAACCCTCAGTTCAGTAGTGCAGTAGTGCAGAGAATGAAAATAAAATAAAATAATCAATCATTTTGATTTACACATCAGCAAGGTTATGATACAAATGTGCTCAGAATCCCTATATTACCCCAGTGAAAAAAACCTGAATTGTCAGATTTTGATGTTTTTCCTTCACTTTTCATAGGAAAAAAATATTTAAACATTTTTAAACAAATCAAAACTAAACTAAAAGAAGCCAAACCTCAAAGCCATTATTCCTGACCAGTTCTTTTATGTCACTGGATAACATCATATCTTTGACTGCTCCCCAAAATATGAATATTAAAAAATTAACCTCCAAGTACTGACAGTTTATTTACCCCCACTTTAAAATCTAGTGGTCCGATTTGCCCTTTTATGCTTCTAGTAATTATATTAATGAAACAATGGAATTCTCAAAAAAACCTCTTATTCTATTTCTTAAAATTAGGACTGCTCTATCACTCTGCATCCTATAAGTCTGGATTACAACTAATAAGGTAGATATGATTTCTAATGTTCTTCTCTCCTTAGATTTCAGAATCTGTTGGAATCCAGGAGAAGGCCCTACATATATCTACAGTATCTTATCTAACCTTAAGATCGATTTCAAATACTACTGTATTATTAGCAAATAGATAACTTCTGCTATAATTGGAGTAAGGATTATACGCCAAAAGAATTTTAAATTCTGTTGAAACATATTATGGTATATTCTTCTTATGCAGGTGGTTCTCGACTTATGACCACAATTGAGCCCAAAATTTCTGTTGCTAAGCAAGATGGTTGTTAAGCGAGCTTTGCCGTTTACAACCTTTGTTGCCACAGTTGTTAAGTGAATCACTTCAGATGTTAAATTAGTAACATGGTAGTTAAGTGAATCTGGCTTCCCCATTGACTTTACTTGCCAATAGGTCGCAAAAGGGGGGGTCACATGAATCCGGGACTCTGCAACTGTCATAAATATGAATCAGTTGCCAAGAATCTGAATTTTTATCACTTGACCATGGGAGATGCTTCAACTGTTCTAAGTGTAAAAAACAGTCATAAGTCACTTTTTTCAGTGCTGTTGTAACTTTGAATAGTCACTAAATGAACTGTTGTTGAGGACTACGTATATGTTACACAGCTAATTTGATTTGATACAAAAGACAATCCCTATTACACTTTTTTGAAGTGTCCATAAAAATGCTACAATGGGGAATCTTTTCTATCAGTCGCATACTTTTGTTACTATAAGGGCCCTGGCAAGAAATCCTGATGTGTATTTTGTTGAGGATTTTCTTGAGGATTAATGCCTGGGTAACTAACCGAAGCTACAAAACTGATGCAGAGTGCTATTCTATGCCCATTTTGAATCCCCAGAAGAGGGAGTGAAGCTATTTTCCAAAGCGCCTGAAGACAGGACAAGAAGCAACGGATGGAAACTAATCAAAGAGAGAAGCAACCTAGAACTAAGGAGAAACTTCCTGACAGTTAGAACAATTAATCAGTGGAACAACTTGCCTGCAGAAGCGGTGAATGCTCCAACACTGGAAGTTTTTAAGAAGAGACTGGACAGCCATTTGTCTGAAATGGTATAGGGTTTCCTGCCTGAGCAGGGGGGGTTGGACTAGATGACCTCCAAGGTCCCTTCTAACTATGTTGTTGTTGTTGTTGTTGTTATTATTATTATTATTATTATTATTTTATTGGCTAACTGACCAAAAGTGCTTTACTCTCCTGTGTCCTTGGATGATCTTGGGTTTACAGATACAAAAACCAAGTTGATACACTATTTCTCTCCTATGTAACTTGTTGCACAGCAAGTCAATATAATGTAGCCAAGGCAACCTCACCTCTATTGAATCTCTGTTTTGAGTGGCATTTAATATCTTAGTTTTGGTTTATGTTATAAAATACTTCTAAATTGAAGTCATACACCCAGCAAATACTGAATTGCATGCAATGTGCTTGCTATAAGTTGTTTGTGGGGTCTAGTTATGACATTACAGGTAATCCTTGATTTACAACCATTCAGGTAGCAAACTTTTGAGGTTACAACAGCATTGAGAAAAGGGACTTAAAACCAGTACTTGCACTTAGGACTGTCACATCACCACAATCACCTCATCGAAATTCAGGTGCTTGACAACACCATGTATTTACAGTACTTGAGTATCCAGGGGTTATGTGATTGTCATTTGCTAGCTTCCCAGCCGGCCTCCTCCAATAAGCAAAATCAATGAGGGAAGCTGGGTTGGCTTAACAACCACATGATTCACTTAACAAGTACAGTGATTTGCTTAACAACCTTGGCCCAAAAAAAGGGGTAATAAAATTGGGCGTGGCTCACTTAACTACCTTGTTTAGCAAAGGAAATTCTTGTCCCACTTGTGGTCATAAACTGAGGCCTATCGATAATATTCTTTCACAGATAGACTCAACAAAATACTTTATATGGGAAATAAAAACTAGGCAGAGCTGGCAATTATGAAATAGCTTCATCTTTTCACGGATGCATAGCTTCTTCCAAATCTTCCTTAGTCACTTGACTCTCAGATAAGTTGATTGGACCTTTTTATAAAATAATGTCTATTTAATTTCACAAACTTGGGATCTCCCTGACTCGGAGAAAACATATTTTCCTTAAATGTTGTACTAATTAATAAATCATATAACCCATATGAAGAAACACTGGACTACAATTTGGATTCTACAAAATGCATATAAGGCACACAGCAAATTCCCCATGTAGCTTGGGAATAGACTGAAACACATATGTTTCTGCTATATTAGCCCTTATATACATAAACTTTATATACATAAACATGCATTCACCCCAAAACAGGAATCTGAAACTGGGCTCAAAAACCATCTGGATTACGAACAAAGCCTGTTAGGAGGTATCTATAGGATATATAATAAGAAATTATAGCCCTATAGCTCTGATTGGCAATTTCTGGCATTAGGGTATTAGAAAAGGTTTAGAAAGAAAAAAGAGGCAGTCATACAGTAGATCTTAAAGACTATGCTAACTGCACTGTTTTGTGCCTTTCTGGCAGTGATTAAAGATAAGATTTGCTATAGTTTGCACTTTTTGGAGCAATAAGCTTATTATTTTACTTACCCTTAAAATGCAAATGCTATACTGTGTGCATGAGTGTGCACAAGTTTGTGCCTTCAAGTAACTTTTTGACTCCTGGCAACGGCCTGGACCAGTCACTGCAGGTTTTTTTGGCAAGGTTTTTTGGATATGTTTCTTTTCTTTTTTCTTTTGATATGGTTTGCCGTTGCTTTCTTCCTAGGCCTAAGAGACTCACTAGCCCAAAATCACCCAACTGACTTTGTGCCTAAGATGGAACTAGAACTCACAGACACCCAGTTTCTAGCCTAACACCATAGCCTTAATTTTACATGCATGATTATACCCTGTTATGTCCAATGGAAATTTCTGGAGTGGCATGTATAAACATAAGAAACTGCTGTGAACAATTAACAGAATGAAAAACAAAAGCCTGAAAAAAATATGCATCAAATAAAAGGTCAACACACTCAGCAGAGCTAGTGAATGCCTAACGCCTGAAGATATCACCTAAAACATTTGGCCTGAAGTTAATTTTTTCCTGCTTACAGTATAAAATGGCCTTATGGCTGGAAGTACTCATGCATTGGTTTCACTCTAGTTCACTCTAATTAGTCTGCTGGGTAATTTTTATTCATTTATGAGTATCTGTTCATATACAAGGTAAAATAAGAATTTGACCTTACATAGCCCCTATTCTTCACAGTGTTTGGTCTTTAATAGCCCCCTTTACTGAATTAGCTGTTCCCAGCATATTTCCAAATTTTCTTTTGGGGTAAAATTTCATTACATTTAGGAAATATTACAATGTTTCTCCCCCCCCCCAGCAGTCCTCCCATATTTTCCCACTATTACTGCAGGTGTTTTTTCTTCATACAAAAAAAATTAAGAAGGAAAAGGTGGGAAAACTTTGATTGGTAGTATTGGAAATGTTGCTTCTGAAATAGTCTAGGTAATTTATGCAAAAGGTTGGCAATCAGCATTTCCCATTTTCTCAGTTGCTTTGAAGTTAGGAAAAGTAACGCTGGAAGAGACGTCCAGTATCTGTGCCATTTTCCTGATCTAAATTCAAAGCTAAATAAAATATCACAGCAAAAAAAAAATCCTGTATATCAAATAAAACAATTAGTCAATCAAAGAATTCTACTGAGTATTTGAAGGTACAATTTATTTTTATACAAATAGCTGTGCTTATGTTTTATGAACATATAGCCATCAAGTACAAGATTTTCAGAAATACAACAGTTTTGAAAACAAATGTTACAAAAGATTACTATTACAGCATGTTAATAATATCTAACTATTTCTTTACATTCTGATGTTTGACAAAATAAGTTAAGATAGTAATAAATATTAAAAACCTCTATAATATACATTAGTCAAAAAAGCTGAAAATTATACAATTTTAAAACTAATGAATAACTTTTCCTTATTTTCACAGCATTTTCAAAGCTCCAGTTTCCAAAAATGATATTTTTGGTGGCAAAAAGCATATATAATAATATATTACTATTTTTGCTCTACAGTTCTAGAGTCATGGCATAAATCTTTAGTATTATGTGTTTTAAATAAAAAAACAAAAACAAATCCAACAGCAACCAAAAAGAATTCAACAAAAAATATTCAGAACGCTAGTTTGCGCATTCATTTCAATCCATTCTAATGTTTCCTATGTCAAACACATTTGTTTAAGTGCTTTAAGTTTAAGAGGCAATTCTATATAGTTAGATTGACAAATAGATTAGTCAGAGTTATTAGCATTACATTGCCATATAGTACTACTGCTAAACTATATTTGATATTGCAATCTGGTATAAACTGTTTTAAAAGTAAGTATCAAATCAAGCCAAAATGGTTGTTATGCTTTCTGCTAATCTTTTTGTTGGTGTTATTCTACAATAGACAATACGACACACAAAATATGGCATATTTCACATTGAACATTTTTTAAAAGAAACAATGTTTAAACAGGTATTTCTTTTGTGCTTCTGACTTGGAAAAAGAATCACATATATCAGTTATGTACATCTTAATAAGCTGAATGCTATTTAAACTTAATTAAAAATAAGATATTTTCTTAAGTGCTACCTTTACTGGGCACACTACTGATTCTTCGAGCGCTTCTGGGTTTAAACCGAATTAAATCTATAAATCACAAAATTAAAAAATAATTATGTCATTTGTGAAAATTGAATTGTCAGGGATCTAAAACTATTTGAAACCACAGAGGTTAAATTATTACTAATTCTGATCCAGTAACAGAGATCCAGTACTGTTTTTACCTCTTGGGAAGGAACGTCAGTATTTTGAGTCCAGGGATTTTAGTTCTTTTTACTATGATAGAGGAAGATTGTTATTCTAACAAAATAAACAGCATCCAGATTTGTAGAGAAAAAAATATAAAAGAAGGAATTAAAGACTATTTGAAATAAACTAGTTAAAAGCAGAATACTCCATCAAACTAGAAATACTACAATATACAAAATATTTTTGTACTACACATACTATTTCTGGAGGAATTTAATATTATAATTTTATTAGTATGATTTCTCCAAGAAATTATTTGTTTGGTTGGGATAAGACAAGACATTTGGGGACAATATCCAGCAAATGGCCTTTTAACTGCACAAAATGAATCTGAATAGTCTTCAAGGGCTAATCTATAATGTTATTATTGGATCTGCTATATATTTATATATATATATGTGATGGACAATATTTTCCCACATTGAACTGATTTAGGCGTTATTCTGTAGCCAGGTTATTTATTTTTATCCCACCTTTATTAGTTTTATAAATATCTCAAGGCGGTGAACATACTACTAATACTCCCTCTTCCCCCAATTTTCCTGACAACAATCCAGTGAGGTAAGTTGGGCTAAGAGAGTGTGATTGGCCCAAAGTCACCCAGCCAGCTTTCATGTCTAAAGCAGAAATAAAATCCACAAGTTTCCTGATTTCTAGCCTGATGTCTTAATCTCTAGACCAGAGGTGTCAAACTGCCAGCCCGTGGGCTGGATGTGTCATGGCGAAACTGCGCCCACCCCAATGCCAGCAATGGAAAAAAAGTCGCAATACGTCATGACACGTTACATAACGTTGCAAGTTTGACACCCTTGCTTAGACCAAACTGGCACATTGCTATTATGATTGTTAGCTATCAAGGCTGTCAACTGATAGCTCCTTTAGTCTTCTTCATATTCCAATTTCATTACTCGTTTTCTAGTCCCAAATGGGCAAAACATTCATTAACCACTTTATTAGCTTAATTTTAAATTCTGGTTTTCAGGTAAGGGTTTACTATAACTTTCTTTACTTAGATGCAATGGAAAATTTTATTGTTTCAAGTTTAGGAGGGAATTGGAGCTTGAAAAAATGAGCTTGTGATACAGCCATGTAGTCTAAATCATAGTTTTTAGGAGAATATTTGAACTAAACCCCTATATGATCTACATTAAGAAATACAGTATATTCAAAAGAGTAGTATCAAAATGATGTTGCCTTCCAATTCTAGTGCTCTACTAAACTCACTAAAGAGGCTCATCTGTTTCCACAAAGCGTTGAAAGCTTTCCTACGATCAGGCGGTCTGTCACATTTTTTCTTGTATTCTCTAACAATGGCCTTTGCTTCTTGTTCTAGCGGAGAAGGCAAGTCTGTGAAATACAGAATGTCAAGGTACATGCGCATGTTACAACTACGCTGACATGAGATGATCTGGTACAATTTTTTTCCGAACATCCTCCTTTGAAGATCAATAAAACACCAAAGAGGCACGTGTAAAGTACAAGCTTTTTTTTTTAAAAAAAAGGACAGTATGTTTATTATGCAGGTTTATTTAGAACACACCTATATTTTTTAAATAGAATTACTGATGCTCTAAAGTAAGATCACTATAACGTAAAGACCAGTTTATTTCTTTTCCATATAAACTTCAAGAGATACAGAAGCATTACATTATTTGTAAAAATCTGTATGAGTTTCATGAATAGCAGAATATATTCTATCTCAAATGTAAATACCACACAGAAGCATGGGATGAATATAGAAAATAATCAATTGTCATGGTGTCCAATGCAAAAAATATATATCAGAGTATAATGGTCCATATTAAAAATGGTGGATATGGCATAGTATTAGAGGATACGTATTTTTGTGTATGGTTGCACTGGAATAAGTCCTTTGTATACTGTTGTCTGTGATTAAGCTATGCATGGAAAGGATAACGGAATGTGCTTTCTAAATTCATTCCATGACATTCTTGCTGTCTTATACATGTAGAGGACAACTGTGTACACATAAAAAGTTAATTTGTTTATAAAGACTTACCCTAAGATTACAAAGCCCTGGATAATTAGAGTTTTAGAATTTGGGGGATAGTCAGCAAGCAGCATAGAGCAGAGGTCCCCAGCCTTTTGAGCACCAGGGACCGGTTCTGTGGAGAGAGGTTTTTCTGCAGATCAGAGGGGGCAGGGTTTCATGTACTGTCTGCATCCCACAGATGGGGCTTTGTTTGTTTGCGCGGACCGGTTTCTGGCATGCCGCAGCCTGGTACCAGTCCACGGACTGGAGATTGGAGACCCCTGGCATAGAAGCTGTAGTATGTACAATATTCTTCAAATACTGTATAGAGGAATACTATCAGGGAGAAAATGTCTGATGCCCCTACTTGACTGGCAGTTCCAACCAATTCCCCCAATTCTCGTTAACATCTAGATGCAAATTTGATACACAAAGTATTAGGCAACAGAATGTAGATGCCCTACAAATGTTACATTCAAAAGGATTTACTATACCTATTTATCCAAATACATGTAAGTACAGATCTTTAAAGATCTCATGATAAGATTATAATTATTCTTCTTATTCACTGTTGCTTCAGAAAGTTATGGACTGGAGGGGTTAAGCACTATTTTTCTCTCTGGATGCATCTACTGTTTTACTTTCAATCTACTTCCAAAAATCAAATTATTACACTGTTTTCATGATAGATTCACCTGATTTTTTTTTCTTGTGTAATAAAAGAACCCTTTAGTCATTTATTGAGAGTTTAACCAAGAATTCAGGTTGCGTGAAACCTAAACCCAAACCATGAACCAATAAAATAAATTAAGCCTAAATATTAGGCAGGCTATTGCAATATTGTCTTGATTACTTTATAGACAACACTCTGAATATTTGACCCTGAATTAACTTTTTTTTTTAAAAAAAAATCCTCACTTTGTACTGAAGACTGTATAATTCTATTTCCTTGATGTGCAAATACAATGCTTTCTTTCAGATGGTCAACTACAGTCAAATTAATAAGACAACTATAATACATAAATGAAAGTTAAGGGCATAAAGTTATTGCTAGTGGATGCTGAATAGTTGAGAAAACCAAAGAATCACAAAAACAAGGCAATATATGTTTTGTTGATTACAGAAAGGTCTTCGATTGTTTCAGGCATGTAAAACTGTGGAACGTGGTTGGAAAAATGGGAACCACAGACATTTCACTCTCCTCCCACAAAATTGAAGCACAGATCTGGAGAGCACAATATGGTAAAAGACCAGCTCCAGGTTGGCAAAGAGATGAGAAAAGGCTATATACTTATATATTCAACCTTTATATGGAATAAATATTGAGCAATATTGAAGAAGATAAATGTTATTTTAAAACTGGAAGTACAAATATGAGTAACCTGAGTTATGTTGAAGACATTATTCTGATGTCTGAAAATGCAAATGATCTGCAAAACGTAGTAGTAAAATCAAGAAATCTCCCCCCCCCAAATAAAATTAAGATTACATATTAAAAAAGACCAAAATAATAACCAGGTTCAGCAATCAGGCTTAGAATTAAAGATGCAACATTAAAGACATTGAAGTGATAGATACCTTCTGCCTTTAGGATCAACTAGCAACAATAAAGGAACCAGCAATCAAGAAATACATAGCAGACCAGCAGTTGGTAAAACAGCAATGAGGATCTTGGAAAAGATATTCAGATTCTGGGCTGTGTGTATACCTACAAAGATCAGAACTGTTCAGGCAACAGTTTTTGCTGTAACATGCTATGACAGTGTTGAACTTTGAAGAAGCATGGTATAAAAAGACTAATGAGGCTTTTGAACTATGGTGTTGCAGAAGACTCTTGAGAATGAATACCAGATAGCCAAGAAAATGAAAAAAACGAATCATCAAATAAATCCACCCAAAGTATAACAAGAGAATTATACTTGCAAAATTCTGTTATTGTAGCTTTATAGTAAAGCAGAATTAACTTTACTGTATTTTTCCTGTCTGAGCTTACCTGACATTAAGAGTTGATACTGACTTGATGACGCCTAACCAATTAATCATTCATTCAATCAATCATGAACAATAGTTTGTCAATAAGGACTTAAATGGCTGTGTTTAATCATATAATCCATTAATACTCCAAGAGCAGTTGCCAAAACTACCACAGAGTCTTAGTAGCTAAATAACTGTATGCCATATGCATGGAGTCTGTATTAGGAGCTCAAGCACAATAGGTAGTATATGAACCACAATGCATAATATGTTAGATATATTATCTGGGATCAGATATACCTATATACCACAAAAAGCCTTACACACTGTATAGTTAAATGATTCTCAAAGACAACTGGAAAATTCTATACTTTCCAGAAGTGGGGCACGTGGTTTTTAGAATGTACATCTCAATGAACTACAATGAAAAAAACAGAAATAACCAAATAGAAAGCAAACAAAACCAATATAATCAGACCGATCTCCTCTCCCTCCTTCTCTCCCCATCAAATGTATTATTAAACTGACTCCTGCTTAGCTTCTTCAATAAAAATAGGTATATTAACATTTTGTGCCTTAGATAGAAATAATATTCAATTATGTATTTAAATTATTTATATGGCCATCCATTTCATCAGACACTGGACAGTGGATTAAAGCAATAAATGCAGCATATAACTCATGATACCCAAAGTTAAAACATTAAATCCTAAATCACAAAAAACAAATCTCAGCTAATTTCCTGGCCCAAATATCTAAAAACGCAGGCACATCTTTAAAACCTTACAAAAGGTTACCCAGGTTGGCCCATTTGGATCTCCAGAGGGACGCAGAACAAGTAGACCCACAGAGAAAGCACAACTTCTAGGTCCAAAGAGATCCCACTGTTTGAGGAGACCTGGAACAGGCCTTCACTGCAAGATTTGATGGGCTCAGCAAAAACAATGGGAGAGACAGTCCATAAATATTTTCAGGTCACTTGATACCTTAATTGTATAAAACTCAAATCCATTTTAGTTACTTAATTAGGTTAATACAGTTATTTCAAGAACATGTATTAAAATATTACTATACCTGGAGAAATAGACTCTGCATACTCAATATTTTCATTATAGTTCTTTCGGAGGAAGCATAAAATGAATGCCAGACCCTTCTGTATCACTTCAAGGGGGGGAAATTCCAGAGGACAATGCCTGAGATTTAAGGCTGTAAGTGAAACTACCTTACCTGCCAAAAGAAGAAAACCAAAGATGTAACGTTAAAATGTTTTAGAAAAGAAAGCTCTCCCTATTATTACTTAAGTAATTATTACTTAGAAACAATAAGACTGTTGGTTTGCAAGAAAGTACATTTGGAACATCAAGTTTTAATAAGTCTGTGGAAGAGTATGAAGGAAGACCTCCCTCAAGGGACAGGTTGATCTATAACAGCCAAAGCTTCATAGAAAATGGCAGTTTTTGTGCTGTTTTCTGCTAATCCCAGTAGATGAGGACCTCAGCAAAAAACTCATTTATTTCATTTGTTTACCATTTGTTTTGCATACCGTGTACGCAGATTTTATCTGGAATAGGCAGTCTTGAAGAAACCCAGATCCCAAGCCATATATGGCAACTAATGTAGCTCACAGAGCAGAGATGTAATATATGCCAGTCTGGGAGCACCCATCACTGCCTACACTGCTACATTATGTATCAGCTAAAGTTTCCAGATACTTTTCAAGGGAAGTTTCATGTAGACCATACTGCTACAATCCACCTGGAAATTGGCCAGGGCATGAATGATTATCAGGACAGCCCTCCAGCTCAGGAAAGGCAGAACTGCTATATAATATGAAGTTCTGCAAAAGGCCTGGATAGGAAAAACCATCTCCAACTGAATCCTACTAAGACTGAGCAGTAGTTGATATTAAAATATTCTGGATCGGATTACTTTCCAGTCAAATACTAGGATGGGGTATGTAATCTGGGAGTCCTCTTGCATTCATAACTCCTGTTCAAAGAGCAGATGGCAGCTGTGGCTAAGTGAACCTTTGTTCAGCTACCTCAGGTGCATCAATTGTGCCCTTTCCTAGATTGGGAGGAGTGACTTTCGGATGGCCATTCATGCCCTAGACACCTCAAGGCTTGACTACTGCAATATGCTCTATATGAGGCTGCCCTTGAAGACCATTCAGAAACTTCAGCTGGCCAAAATGCAGTGATGGACTTGCCTTAGTATGCTCTTGGGATAGCCATTGGTCTCTAAACTGTACTGGTTGCCAATCTGCTTCCGGGTATGATTCATGGTGCTAGTTATTGCCTGTGCATCTAATTTGCCCAGGATCAAGACTCATAACTGAGTATCATCAGCAACTAATAATACCTGACTTCAACTAACAGATGACTTTAAGCATCAGAATTATTTAGATATTAAACAGGAAGGGCAAGAGCATGAAACCCAGGGACACATGTCAGATGTGTCTGGGTCAAATTCTCCCAACCACTGAAAACCCTGAATATAGTAAACCCAGCAATGCAACAGTGTACTCTCATTGTTAATTCCCAAAGGCAGCCGAGAAGGATATACCATGATATTGAAATCTGCTGAGAGATTAAGAGGAACTAGGAAAGATGCAGAAACAGCAGAAAGAGAAGCTTTTATCACCACAATAAAATGCCTATTGTGGGCTCTTATTTACACTTGGCTGGATTTACTTTTGATTTTTGACAAACAACTTGCTCAGAAAACCGAGGGGCACCTTAGGATTGATGCATAATGAGAAAATACTTGGAAAAATCCAATACAGGGTCCTCACCCTATGCTCATTCCAGACTGCCATCAAATTCTTGGGATGCAATCTAAAGTCCCTCTGGAATCTTGCACGGTCCACTAATTGTCTGGAGTGGGTTGATTAAATGAATCCTGCCTTCTTACACTGACAAGCCAAAAGGTGACCAGAAAATGATCTGACATGGCAAAGGAGTGATTACAGGCATCCGCAACTTACGATACTTCATTTAGTGACCATTCAAAGTTACAATGACACTGAAAAAAGTGACTTATGACCATTTTTCACTTATGACTGTTGTAGCATCTCCATGGTCATGTGATCAAAATTCAGATGCTTGGCAACTAGTTCATATTTACGACGGCACGGGGTCATATGATAACCTTTTGTGACCTTCTGACAAGCAATGTTAATGGGGAAGCCAGATTCCCTTAACAACCGCATTACTAACTTTAACAGCTTTAATGATTCACTTAATAACTGTGGCAAAAAAGTTTGTTAAATGGGGCAAAACTCACTTAACAAATGTCTCACTTGGCAACGTAAATTTAGGGCTCAATTGTGGTGGTAAGTTGAGGACTACCTGTATATTATCTTCCACTTTCAGATCGGATTGTAACTAATCTATGGCCAAAAAGAAAAAGTGTAGTGTGTAACCCTGGTATGTGTCATGATCCCAGTGACTCCACTGCCAATCCTGCATCAGAAACTAGCAGCTCAAGGAGGGATGTTCTTTTTCAGCAGGAAGGCTAGTAGAATAGTAACTGCTCCCTAGAGCTCCACTTAACAGAACAGAATAAAAGAACAACAGAGTTGGAAGGGATCTTGGAGGTCTTCTAGTCCAATCCCCTGCTCAAGCAGAAAACCCTATACCATTTCAAGCAAATGGTTGTCCAATCTCCTCTTAAAAACCTCCAGTGATGGAGCACCCACAACTCTGGAAACAAGAGGATCCTTTAACCAGAAGATCTCATGCTTGTTTACCTGGAGAGCAAAAACTCTGAAAATGTCCTCGCCTCACACCCATGTTCTAAGATGCAAACAGATCAGGTCCCAGTGGGTGCTGAGCCTAATGATTCAACAGCCATGGATCCAATACTGATATCCTCTGCTCAGCCAGCTAACACTGGTGCCAAGAAACTTCACAGGCCTGAGAATCCTGCACTTTGGCAAAGTAAACACCTTGCAAGCAAGCAGAAAGATGCTGACTCTGCAAGCAAGCCCCATGCTTCATTATTGGCAACCGCTGAGCTGGAAATGTTTTGGCTGTGGAAGCTTGGCGGGGAGATTTAATCTATGCAGGAACTCCTTCTGTTACTGGAAGCAACTTTGGCATCTTTATTTGTGAATTCCTGTTCTTGATTTCTGCTTGTTTTGACCTTGGTGTTCCTGGCCAAGCTCCTGACTCATCCCTTGATACTTTACAAGCTTTTGTGTAGTAATGGATTACAAACTATTCAGATTATGCCTCTTCCCTAGCCCCAAGTAATTTATCAAGCAATTTATCTTGCACACACATATTCTTTCTCTTGTTTCCCCAACTCTTTTTCTGTTGTCTGCTGCCATCTCTCCAGATAAACTTCCTAACACTTTTATAAGTCCAGTTGCAAAATAATTGTTCCTAAACTGTGTGTGTGTGTGTATTCCTGCCCAATATCTTTGCAAGTTTGGCCTCCAAGCATTTTTTTTTTAAACTAAAGCTAGGACACACACACAAAATGCCATTAAGGCATTATGGATGACAACTGTCAACATCACCACCATCTCCATCCTGGCTTCATAGCTGAAAATGCAGGTGGCATATCTATGGGAGAGGACCTCCTCTCTCTGGGGCCACCCAAGCTCAGCCCAGCCACACACAGCAAGTGGACTGCCTCACTTACAGTCAATTGTGGATGAGGGTGGTTTTATTACATGTTGATCTAATGTCCAGTTACAGCAGCTAGAACCCAGGCCATCAAGAATTTGATGACCTGATCTTGAATACTGACTGGAAGATAAGATAGGTTGCAGTCCCCAAATTTATCATCTCTGTGACTGCTCCACTTATATATCACAACCTTGTTGGAATTACTCTCTCCTACCCTAGTTTCATCCCCATACTTTCTACCTCCCAGGCTAAAGTATTTAATCTCCCTCAGACGTACTTTCATTCCCCATGGCAGGTAATATAACCTCTCCTCACTGCTCCAGCAACAAGGGTGATAAAACAATTGCAGGTCACCAACCACTCCCATTTATCATCCATTCTTGGCTTGGAAACAATAGCTAATCACCGGCCACCAACACACCAATTAACCAATAGGAAGACATCACATAAATATGACTCATAGAATAGCCCAAAGCACATTTTCCAGTAGAGAAGTTCCCTGAGGATGGGCTTCAGCAAGAGTTCAAAAGCTCGGAAGAGTAAACCCTTGGTCCCGGTGACCAACTCAGATTGGATCTTGAACATTATCCTGGGACATATATATTTGCCTTCATTTGTGAGAAGTAACTCCACTCATATCTGTTCTGCATAAGTGAAAGGACCAGACCATTTGCTCCATTCTAGGGTTATCTATGAGCCAGCAAATGTAGAAAGCCACAGTACAGAAGAAGCTGTTGGTGAAGCTGATGCCCGCTACCTCACGCTGCTAATTCCCAAGAATATGCTATGCTGGCTTCCATCTAGAGCTGCTACACATCTGTACATGCCACTGCTGCTGCTGCTAGGATCAGCTCCAAGCAAAAAAGATGTAAGATTTTTTTTAAAAAATGTCATTTAAAAAAAGTCTGTGCACACACTGATCTACCCTCCACATCTTTAAAAGCAAGCAAAAAAACCAAACTTCATTTAATTCCAAACACCTACAAACTCATGGATTTTATTTTAGTGTCTCAAGAGCCTCTTCATCTTAGAACTAAGGAAAAATTTCCTGACAGTTAGAACAATTAATCAGTGGAACGACTTGCCTCCAGAAATGGTGGGTTCTCCAACACTGGAGGTTTTTAAGAAGAGACTGGACAATGATTTATCTGAAATAATACAGGGTTTCTTGCTTGAGCTGGGAATTGCATAGAAGACCTCTGGGTCTCTTCCAACTCTCATTCTGTTACAGTATTCATCCTCTTTTTCTCATGGCCCTCCTCAGCATATAAAGGAATTTCTTTTAATAGGTAATGAAAGCGAGACCATTCAGGACTAATTCTGCATAGCTCCTTGTTACTACCTTATTCTATTACATACCTATAGAATCTATCCTACATATAAGCAGGCCCTTAAAAATATATTTCTATTCCTACTGCTGGGATATGTAACTCCAGAAACTGTTTTTCACAGATATCTCCACTAGAGGGCAGAAAATTCCCTTATTATTAATAGAAAAATGGATTATCTTAGCTTTATTTAATGGTTATGCTATTTCTTATAAATTTCCATGAAATCTAAAATGTTTTAATCAACAGCATGCACTGTGAA